GATCTTTTGTTGAAAGGTGCTATGCTGACAATAAATGGCAATATTAATAGTAAATTGCATGAAAAAGAGATGGAATAATTCAATACAGAAAAGATAGCCTTCAAATTAAAATATGGAAAAACTGCACAATTCTGGACAAAACTACTGAATCTACAGCCACCTATTTATATTATGAAAATAAAACATCTAAAAGACAATGCAGAAGCAAATCTTGGAGACCTTGGGTTTGATCATCGCTTTCGGAATGTAACAATGAAAGCACAGTTGGTAAGCTAGAGATCATGAGGGTTAAAATCACCTGGCCCATAACTGATACTGAATAGAATGAAAGGTCCACTATATACTAGGAGGACACCTTTGCATAACACTTAACTGATAAATAATGGATATCTAAACTATAACAAGAATTATTAAAACTCAACAGTTAGAAAGAAAAGAAGCAAGTAAGCAAAATAATCAGAATGAAGCCAGGCACACGTTGCACCCACCATGATCCTAGATACTCAGGAGGCTGAAATGTAAAGAGTTCGGTTTGAAGCCAGCCTGGGCAAAAAAGTCAGTGAGACTATTATCTATTCAGAAAAAGCTAGAAGTGGAAGTAGTGCTGTGGCTCAAGTTGTTCAAGTGGTAGAGTGCTAGCTCTTGAGCAAAAGAACTTAGGGATATCATGCGGGCCCTGAGTTCAAATCCCATGACTGTCGGAAGAAGGAAAGAAAGAGAGAGAGAGAGACAGAGAGACAGAAAGGGAGGGAGGGAGAAGGGAGGGAGAAGAAAGGAAGGAAGGAAGAGAGGGAGGGAGGGAGGGAGGAAGGGAACTGAAAGTGTTGCTGTGCTATGGCTCAAGTGGTAAAGCACTAGCCTTGAGCACAGAGATGCTCAAGGACACTACCCAAACCCTGAGCTCAAGCCTCAGGACCATCAAAAAAAAAAAAAAAAAACCATATCTCTGCAGAAAACGTAGGGATGGAAAATTAGCATATCAAAAGTAGTTCAATATCATATGCCATTAAGCAATTGTGAATTGAAATTGCTAGATACAAATGTACATTTTTGTCCATCACGGGGCTTTTACTCAAGGCTGGAGCACTGTTGCTGAGCTTTTTTCCTCGAGAATCTCCAAGAAATGGAAACGAGAGGTTTCTTAATTGTACGATTGGTGGTTCTTTTTAAATTTTTCTTTCCTTTTTTCTTTGGGTTTATTTCCTTTTGTAGCTGCTTTTGTTTTCTGTACTCTTTGTTTTTATCTGATTTTGAGAGGGGAAGGGGGAACACAGAAACTGTGGGACAAAGGATGAACCAACCAAAGGACCATATAAGATGATGCTAAGCAAAATGAACCCATGATAGAGACACAAGAGGTTTTATTATTCTTGCTGTTGTTTTTAATGTATTTATGATGTACTGTGTCATTGTTTTTGTTTATTTTGTAGTTCTTCTTCCATGGTATAACCCCTGTTTTCACTGTATTTGATTCACTGCATCTTGTTATATACATTTTTCTAGTTTGGAGAGAGGAAGAGAAATAACAAATGCTGAAATAAGGATACAGTTTGACCCACTGTAACAATGAGATGCACAAGACGCTATGCTGAAAATGAACTTTACAATTTGGAGGCAAAGAGAGGAGTTGGGAAGGTGGAGAGGGAAGGGATGGTAGGGGAAATACAAAGGAGGAGGTAACAATGCTCAATAGGAAATGTACTCATTACCTTACTCATGTAACTGTAACCCCTCTGTACAGTATTTTTACAATAAAAAATATACACTAAGAAAGGGTGAACCAAGTCAGCAGTGATACTTACTCGACACTATGTTGGAAATGAACATTTTGGTGGAGGGAGTTGAGATGGGGGGGCAAAATTGGCAGAAAATGACAGAGGGGGTGACACTGTTCAAAAAGAAATGTACTCATTAGCTGACTTACGTAACTGTAACCCCTCTGTACATCACCTTTACAATATTTTTTAAATGTACTTCTTACAAAATCTAATGGCAGGGGATGGGAAGGTGGCTCAGTAGTAGAGTGCTTGCCTTGCATGCCTGAGGCCCTGGGTTCGATTCCTCAGCACCACTTAAGCAAAAAGAAAAACCCAGAAGTGGCTCTGTGGCTCAAGTGGTAGAGCGCTAGCCATGAGCTCAAGAGCTGAGGGACAGCTCCCAGGCCCAGAGTTCAGGCCCTACGACTGGACTCCCCCCCCAAAAATCTAATGGCAATCAGTATCATCAGCAAATATTAGTTTGGATTGGAGCAATACAAAAATCCAATTTAGTGCTAGCCTGAAGGAAAAATGTAACTGCTACGGTTTTCTTTCTCTTTCTATCTTTCTTTCTATCTTTCTTTCTTTCTCTTTCTTTCTTTCCCTCCCTTCCTTCCTTCCTTCCTTCCTTCCTTCCTTCCTTCCTTCCTTCCTTCCTTCCTTCCTTCCTTCCTTCCTTCCTTCTTTCCTTCCTTCCTTCCTTCCTTCTCTCTCTTGAAGCAAGGACCTGGACACTTTCCCTGAGCTTTTCTGCTCAAAGTTAGTGTTCTACCACTTTGAGTCTTAGCTCCAGTTCTAGTTGGTAATGGGAGATAAGAGAACAGGAAGTTTCCTGCTTTGGATGGCTTTGAATCATAACCCTCTAAGTAGCTAGGATTACAGGCATGAGCCATCAGCACCTGGTTGTAACAATCACTATTGAAGATAATTTCTTACAAAGCTAAACACAGCCTTACCATTTGACCCTGAAATTGAGCGACCTTGTAATAAATGAAAATGTAATATAGTGCCAAAATATTGACCTACAGGATTTCAATATTTTAAAAAATCTCTGATGTTAGTTACAATATTGTTTAACCATCAACATATTAAAGCTTTCAAACTTGACATATATGATTCGTTGTAATCATAATAACCAGAAAAAACTTGTTTAATGAGTATTCAATGAGGGGTAGACAATTGCTTCTCTATCAATTCAAAAGAAGTTCATACATATTGCTAAAAGAGGAATAAAATGCAGAGAGATAATTCAATTTTATAGAAGGATCTTGTACATTGAGGCTAAGTGCCAACAAGAGCAAATGAGGAAAATTGAGTACCTCATCCTATACCAAACTAATATCTTCATGTATAATTTTGTTGTTTTAGTTTGATAAGTGAAGGAAACAGAATAATTTGGAAATGTACCCTAAAACATAATTTTCCTACTCTGATAAGTATAGAAATTAAGATGTGGAGTCCCAGGAGGTTGCTTCCTGTAAGACTGCAGTCTGAAGCCTGCCCAACAGAAAAATCTGAGCGACTCCATCTCCACAATAACCAGCAAAGAGCCTGGGTAGACACTTGACTCAAGTGGTAGAGTGCCAGCTGTGAGCAAGCAAGATGAGTCACTTCAAGGCCTAAGTTCAAACACCGTCATTGCCATAAAAACTAAAAAGAGATACAGAGGGATTAAGTGCTTGCTACATCACAGAAGCTGGGAGCAAAGCTCACCAACCTAAACCTCATATTGCCCAAATAAGCAAGTGCTTCAAGACCCAGCTTGTACCCTGAAATTTACATAGACAGAGCATCAATACCTTATAAGAAACTCAGTATCATTAGTCATTCAGGAACATTGTTTCTTAGATTCTTTCTCATGTATAATTAAGATTTTTATACCCTTATGTCAGTTCTTTTGTTCCAAAATGACCTTTGCTCATATGCATTTTGTCTTGCCTAAGGCTTATCGTGAGAAACTTTAAGGATAAAGAACAAAGAAATGCCAGGGAGAGCAAAGAGCAGAGGAGTATTTAGCCTGAACTTTCATTCATAGATATATAAGTATATAAATGTGTACATACATATATGTTTCTGTATCTATGTATATATACATGTATATATACACATACATATGTGCATACATATACATGTAGATACAAATATATGTATATGTGCATTTTGACATTAATTTGACATATATTAAGTGTATAGAAATTATTTTGTACTTTCAATTGCAATATGTTGTTTATATACTATATATCCTAACATATACATATACATATATGTTCACATATATACGTATTACAGCCTGTAAAAGAATCAATACTCAGTTGAATAAATGTATGGAAGATATAAAATTCCTATCTATCAAAAACACCCTAAAAGCAGAAGGATGTTGTACTTATTTTGTAATCTATATATTCTTATCTAATACCCCTGGTATTGGATAATTTTTAACATATCTCTTGTAGCCTCATGTGTGATATATGCCTGTAATTCTGGCTACTGGGAAGGTAGAAGTAGGAGGATTACAAGTTCAAGGCCAGCTCAAGCAAAATGAGAGATATCTTAAAAAGATAAGAAGGATTGGCATGGCTGGAGTGGAAAAGTAATTGGTAAGCAAGCATGAGATTTTGAGGGATAACCCTCCCCTAGTACTTCAAAAATAAAATGTACTCTCTTGTAACTCTAGACAAATATTCCTACATCTTTAGTTATTTTGAAAACCATCTATATTTAGTCTCATCTGAATACTAAGCTTGGTTGCCATCCTCATAAAAGATAGCCTTTACAGTTAACTATAAGGTTGTAGATATGGTCTCACAGTACAAAATAGCCTGAGATCCTCACTCCTGCCACTTAGCTAAGTACATTTTCTCCATTACAACTTTAACTCCATTGGCTTTTCAATAACCATGTCATATCTGACTCGTTGAAATTCATCCAAAATCATCTGGCCATGTTCTATGTGATATACTTGATGTCATACTGCTCAACAAAGTTCTATTGCATGTGTGTGTGTGTGTGTGTGTGTGTGTGTGTGTGTGTGTGTGTGTGTGTATGTACTATATACTTAGAGACATGCACATACATTTGAGCTTCTTTTGGGAGGAGGGATCTGATTCTCAATTCATAAATATGCTAGCTGTTTTATAGTCTTCATTAGATAGTGCTATGGTCTCAGAAGATACACAATTTGGAAGTTAAATAAAAACTCCGATTGAGGGAATATATATACACTTGATGGTGTATATAACCTACCTGTAAAACCCTGGTGGCACCTGTTGTACCAGAAAGCTCTTCTCCATGTCTTGGAGGATGTCATTCAGCATGCGGACCCGGGTGGGGGCTCTCTCCTTGGGGTCGTTAGCTGGTCGCATCTCATTTGACTGGAAGAGTTCAGTACTCTCCCGCAGGCGTGAGGCCATGTCTAGCAGCTGATGAGTACAAGGCTGATCACCTGGTGGAAACAAATGAGCCCATTTCAGAGGAGACATTCTCAATGTGGCAAAATAGTCATGCCTCTAAGGTACAAACCACCAGACCACTGAAGACTGAGTGGGTTATTGTAGGCAATTCTCTTCTTTCTGTGGCCTACCAAAAGCAAAGCTTTATGTATTTAAATCTCACCTGGCACAAGGCAAAGCTTCAACATCAATTCAACATTGATGATATATTCATTCTGTCCAAAGTACCATCTAAACTTGTTTATACTCTATTAAAATAAATTCACTGTTACTGTTAATAATAATTGCAGTAAAGTGAAACTGATAATTAAAGTATGTTTTGCTTTAGAAGGGAAACATTGTACAGAAAGAAATGCAACCATTACCTGACTTATGAAACAGTAACCCCTCAATACAAAAACAGTAAAATAATATTTTTAAAAAGCATGCAGTGCTCTAGAAGTTATGTCAAGAATTGTACATAATTATCTTATTTAATATTCATCACAGATTTTAATTATCTTATTCAAAATTTCCCAATTCTATGTAGTTATTTCCTTTTCCTTTGATATCTATCACACCTTACATCTGTATTATAGAACTTGAGAGTAAAGTTAAGCAACATGTAACAAGTCAATAAGTAACATACAGTACAAGTTAAGAAACCTAGTCTTTCATTGGTCAGTCATGGGGCTTAAATTCCAGGCCTGGGCACTGTCCCTAAGCTCTTCAGCTCAAGGCAAGCACTATACCATTTGAGTCACAGCACCACTTCCAGCTTTTTCTGTTTATGTGGTGATGAGGAATCGAACCCAGGGCCTCATGCATGCGAGGCAAGCACTCTACCACTGAGTCACCTTCCCAGCCCCTAGTCTTCCTAAATTAAAGCATTCATGCTCACCATGTCAAATTCTGTATTTGGGGGAAACCATATATGAAGCCATCTTTTCTTCTGAGACTAGGAGGTATGTAGTGATATGTAGAGATATGGAGTGATATATCTCTACATGCCTGTAGATTCTTTACCTTTACTAGAAATTTTCTGTAATGTAAACTTGAAACTATGAAATCTACCAAAGATTGCCCTAAAAACTTTACATTGTTATGTTTTGCTCTTCAAATGATTAGTCTTTTGCTTTGTTTTTTTCTTATTTTGGAGAGTTAGTTATTGGAATCCATTCTTATAATAATCATACTCCGTAAAGATCCACAGTCATTCTTTAGAGAAAAGAAACTCTAGTCCTCTAATTCATCCCTGGTTTTGGTCAAGTGACTTTAACTGCCTGCTCTAGCACATTGTACTCAAAGTTACTATTCTTAGTGTCCTTAACTGTAAAATGAAAGTAATAATAATAAAGTAATCAAACAAAGCTACTTCAAAGGTTTGTTATAACAATTAAATGATGAACACTTACAAATTACATCATTTCCCTTTGATGTTCCCAGGCGATATGAGTGGGCAGCCCTCTTTTCCCACTGCTAAACCCAGCCTGGAAGAACCAGCATCTCAAAGACTGAGGACTACTTATACCACAAAGGGGCAGAGGGTCTCTTCCTCCCTAGGTGAAGAAGGAATATCTTCTGGGAAATCTAAGTCAGCACTCCTAAGAGTGAGGATTTGAAGTAGGCAAATGGAAGGATAAAAGGGAGCATTAGGGGGTCTTCATTCAAGATAACATAAAAGAAAGGTCAACTTTTTCCATGTGAAATGTACAAATGTCACCATTTCTCCCAACACTTGGTGTTGATGACAATGCAAATTCCCAGAAGTGTTCAATCTGTCTAGGAGTAGATTTCAGGAATGTCTAGCTTAACATGCCTGTTGAATCAGTCTGTGTGCTCTGTAGTTTAAGAAACACTGTCCAAAGGACATATGCTAATTAAAGAAAAAAAAACAGTTAAAGGCAGAGCTGATACCTAAAATGAGACTGCCGCAGTCTGATCAGTAACTTCTAATAGAATGATTGCTACAGGCCAGAAGTTTCTCACTAAATGAAAGCAGATCCAGTATGGTATGTTTATAAAATGTCTAAGGAACAATAAAAGAAAATGATGTAAAGAAATAATCCATTAAGCCTGACGCTGGTGGCTCAAGCCTGTGATTCTAGCTACTCAGGAGGCTGAGATCTGAGGATCGCGGTTGAAAGCCAGCTCGGGCAGCAAAGTCTGTGAGACTCTTATCTCCAATAAACTACTAGAAAACCGGAAGTGGCACTGTGGCTCGAGTGGTAGAGCGCTGAAGAGCGCAGGGACAGTGCCCAAGCCCTGAGATCAAGCCCCACAACTGACCAAAAAAAAAAAGAAAGAAAGAAAGAAAGGAAGGAAGGAAGGAAGGAAGAAAGAAAGAAAGAATCCATTATATAAAGCTAGAAAGAAAGAAAGAAAGAAAAAAAGAAAGAAAGAAAGAAAGAAAGAAAGAAAGAATCCATTATATAAAGCTAGCAAAGACATATACATCCAGGCTTACAAGGAACATTCTACCAGAATATAATAACTTTTTTTGGTATTATATTTTTATAAGTCTAGTCAACGATTATGGTAGAAGAAATAGTATTTGAAGTATCTTTCTGTTCACTAAAGTTAATGAGTAAAGTGTATTTTAGTAGTTTGCAAGTGTTTAACATTTACTGTTTTAACGTGCATTACACAGACATTAATTAATTATTTTATTCTGTTTTACAACAAAACCTGACATTACAAGAGGATGTATTTAGTTCATTTTTGAAACCATAGCATCCAAATAACAGGACCTCTTTATGGGGACAACTCATTTCTTAAATTATGGCTGTTCACAAAAGTTAAAGTTTCAAGGAAATATCTTTGCATAAGGACAGAGTAAGTTGAATAAGGCACATTTAGACTTCAGTAGAATAGAAAGACTGAACAACAGAAAAAACAAGTTTGACATCCTTGAGAGTCTTCCATTTAAAAAAGAAAAATCTCTTCTGATCTAACATACACTGCAGAATTGAAGCCATTATTACCGAATCAAGTGAGACAAATTGTACCATTCTACCTTATTTATCTCTAAATGAATTTATCCCTCATGGTAGTGTAGATGTAGGAAATTGACAGCTTTAGGAACCAGTTGGTTCCAGAAAAGAACCTGATAATAGAAATCTGCCGACCACACCATACTTCTCAGGTATGAGGTTACAAATTGAACAGGAGTTCTACTTTCAATGTTCACTCAATCATTTTGATATATATCATTTCAAAGATTCCTACTAGTCATGTCTCTGTCAATTAGAGCTTGTTGCTACTTTAAATAAGACCCAGAAAAAATGTCACTCTCTCTAGAGAAGATTTGTGACCTAAATGACTGATTTCTGTTGGGGAGGAAATGAAGGTCTGTTTATTCATTGTCATTTACCTGCACCTAGAATTTCACCAGGCATATCATTCAATCAATGAATTAGTGTGTTAGATAGTTTTATCCTAGCATTTGCAATACTGTTATCCTTCTCTACGTCATTTGTCTTGTCTTTATGATGGAAAAGAATCCCACAGGATCAGCAATTACATTTTATTTGCGTTTATATCACCAGATGCTTACACAATAGCTTTTCTGCAGTTGCCATTTATCAAAAAATTTGTTGATTCAATGGTGAAATAGAAGATATTATCTAATTTGAGATATATTATTATATTAAGCAATGTCTATAAAACCATTCAGTGAGCTGAACAAAAAGAGGAGACTATTTTATGGTAACGTATGTTAAATGAAACTAAATTGATTAAAATATTTCCTACAAATAATCCATAAAAACTATATATATGTATATCTATTTATATAGATATACATATAACAATTTAATAGGCCTACTGAATGTCAGAACATAGTGTGAAATGAAGGCTGGGAATATCTGAAATGTTAAAAATATCAAGTTCTAGGGCCAAAAAAACTAAATGGAAAATAGATATTTCTTTGGGGAAAATTTTTACAGTTATTTTTATGTTATATACGTGGAGTCTAAATTTCAGGAATTTGGTATCAAAGACCAGATAAGAGTTTGGTCTGCTTAATTACTACCCAAGTGGTCTCCAGTAAATGATTTTAATCCTATTCTTCTGTATCTTTGGAGAAAATGGAAAATTGGCCTTTTACTTTCTAAATGCACAACTCACTATGCATGCAATTATTATTACTAGGGTACAAAAAAGAAATACAAGTTCCTTCCAACATATTTTTGAAAACCATGGAAATAAATACTCTTGTGGTATGTTTTAGTTTATCCTCAAAAGTTTACATTATCATTTTTAACGTCTGTGACCTACGAAGTGCAGTACAGTGTTCCCTAAATCTACTTTAAGGAGAATTCTTGATCCTCTTCTGTAAGGTCTATGAATCTAGAGCTATATTTTCTTTCCATAAGTTGACACTAAAGAAGGGAAACGATAGGATAAAGTGACAAGAATTACATAGATAACTTAAAATGAGTTTCATATATCTTTGTTCTTGAGGAAAAGCCTTTGGTGTTACAGAAATATTAACATTCAAGCAACATAATACAAATAATTAAAACTGCTTGCTAAATTTATCTTATGAGAGACAACTGAAATTCACTTCTAAAGTTCAACCAGGATATTTGCATCTCAAAGTAAAATGCATTTATGCTCTTATAAATCCCTATTTTCTATAAGTACTAGGAAATAAGCAATGACACCTAAGATTAGATCTCTAATCTTCAGATTTTTCCAGATCTACTTAGAAATAGACCAAATAGAGTTAAATCTACAAAAATTGTAAATGTCATGTTACATAAATGCTTGGGAGGATGAGTAACATTGTGTAGTAGAATGTTTCAGGGAAAGCCTGTAACTTAAGGAACAGATTGTGGTATTATCAAACATTCAAAGATATCTCAAGCTCTTGCAAAGTCTGGTCTTTTATCTAGATTAAAGCATTTGAAAAAGCATGTCCCCTAAACTGTGGGGACATGAGAGCCCCATGGGAGCTTAGAGAAGTAGAGGAAGAGTGATTGGATGATGTGGGTATGGAAAGCCTGATGCC